TGTACCTTGGCGTCCACTATCCTGTCGACTCTTCGGTACGGGGGAGTCTGTGATATCTTGGGACCTCTGGGACCAGTGTTACCTGATGCTAGACGAACCTCGATGTCAACTCTACCGTGCAGTCGTGGTGGAAGGCGACACAGCTGGGCCAAAGGTGAAATAAACAAACAGAGATTCCACTAAAAGCGTCTGACGTCAAGAAGGAATGGGATGAGGAGAGAGGGAGATCTTTAGAGCAAGTGTTACCGTTGGGATCCAAACGTAGACTGCCAATTCTAGGTTCTCGATTTAACACCAAGACCTTTCTTCTTTCTAATTGGTTGGCCTATTTAGGTGATTCTTTCCTAATTGGTGGGACTACGTCACATGGCCGTTGGCTATTGGTTGACCTATTTAGGTGATTCTTCTCTAATTGGCCCTGCGGCTTCCTTTGATGGAAGATACGTCCGGTCTTGGCCAGGAAGTACGGGGCGTTACTCGACTTTTATAACTTCTGCGTTATCAGATACGCCCTGTCCTGTCAGGAAGTATTGACTTGTAAATTATTTATAGTTGGGCTGGTTTTAAGCCTCTTTTGCTAGGCCTTGCTTCGACTTCTGTCCTAAGCCTGATTAGTTTTAACCTTAATTTTCTCCTGTTAGACTCCATTCCTTCTATCTGTACAGTTGCGATACTTTATTAGATTCTTACGCGGTACAGATTGATGTTAGTTGAGGTTTTCTATGTGTAGTACATAAGAAGTTATATACAGTCATGGGGTGGAACATGTGGTAGTAGATATCTAGACTATTTACAACAATTCCATGGTCTTAAATCATCACAAGCATATATATAATTTCAGTATCCGTTTGAAATTAAAAACAAAATTTTATTCAGAGACCATCCTCTATAATACAAGTGTATTACCTGTATAGGACATATAAATTCGACTTACTGCTTTTTCGTGGTTTATAATTCTGTATATAAAAATAACTAAATATTATATAGAAACTAATAAATTTCTAAAGATGTTCAATATCTTATTGACAGTCTACTTGATTATGTAGGATGGTTGTTGCGTGATGTGTTGGTGTGGCTTGTGGAAAGGCTGCTGATAAAATTATAATTAAAATTAATTTATTTAAAGACAGAAATATAAAAATAGAAAAGAAGCAACGGTTGAAGTAACGGCCGTTGGAGCAAGCCTAGATGTTTACCGCGTGAGTGCCAGATCAAGTGTCGGAAGTGCCAGCCGCTAGAAAGTTCCGGATGACGCCCGCGCATGCGTAGTGAAGTGTTCTCTCAACACGTGCTTGCCGAGGCATAGTGATGCCGCCATTTTTCTGCCCGTATGTGTTTTGAAGCTTTGTCCCAGTTCGCTGAAGCAAAGTGCGGTCGCCACAATTATGATCCTGATTTAAGACCGTCTGCAAAAGATTGCTTGGAAAGTGAATTTCTTCTATCTGGTGATTTTGAAATATTTAATTTACAACCTATTAAGAAATAATTCCCTACCAAACGATATATTTAATCAAACGATTAGCAAAATTTATGTAAATAACCACTAAATAATCATTTTTTCAATTTTTTTAAATCGCTATTCTCTTTTTTATTATAAACAAATCTTTTAACTGTATATGTTTATATATTGATTTTTTAAAAATATGTAATAAAATGGATTTTTTAAACTAAAAAAAAAAAACTTATAAATCTCGCGCTAATTGACTAATTCTACCTTAAGCATAAAACCATTATTGTTTAACAGAAATGCCGTCATTAAAAAAAGAGAACAAACTAGAGAGAGAGAGAAAATCTCTTCTAATCCCAGTAGATTTTCTTTCCCAATTACATGAGAGAGCAGAACTTTCTTTTATAATGTCTTAGTTTTTTTTTTAAATGGTGATTTGAGATGTTCGCTTTGTTCTATAGTTCATTTATGAATGAATTCTTTTGATTTCGTTTTATAAAAGATATAAAAGTTCTTATTGAATGGAATTCTATTTGTTCAAGTATATTCTATAATCTCTCATTAAATCTTTATATCTTATTATAAGTATAGAGATTAAATTAAAAATCTACAAATATAGATAAAGAATTCTTCCTGGATTGCATTTAGACGATATAAACATGAGTAAATTTTTTCTCTTTTATATACTTAACTAGCCGAATGACCCGGGCAACGCCCGGGTTTTACCCGATTAAATGTTTTATTAAAATACTATTCTTTACAATTATAAATTGGCGTCGTGGATGGCACTCTTTTGAAACGTCCCGCTTCAATCTTTGTGTGTTTTTAAAATACAAAAAAAAAAAATGTAAATTTTCACAACGATATTTGAAAATTGTATTATTTAGATTTTTTGTATGAATACATTTTAAACCTGATATATACATAAAATGATATGATAATGATAGCAAGTGATTTCTTGTTCCTACCCTGTCATTACGTCACTCAAGGTCACCGTCGCGCCACGTGGTGGCGCAGCAAACGGTGACAGAACGCATGACGCTGATAACTGTATATAGAATACTCCATTTCAGACATATTATATGCTTCTTTAATATTTCTTTCCTTCAGCTATGGTTTTGCATCTCTTGAATTATCCTCTTTGTTTTTTATTTTTACAAATAGGTAAATTGCTCATTTGCATGATTTTTTCTATATTTATGTAAATTAATATGTGTATGTATATATTCACTACAGCCATCGGTATCGTTCATAGTGTCATTTTTTTTATCTTGCCTGTTGAAGGGCTTTTACCCGAAAGCTTGCTCTAATGCATCAATAAAAGAAACTCGTCTTCCTTCGCCATGTTTTTATCGTCTAAATAAAAAATCTGTTTCTCTATTTGTAAAGATTGTGACTGTATTGTTTAATATTTTTTATATTAATAATCTACATATCCCGCAATCTTTTTAAATCATATATAATACTCGACAATAGGTTTTATTGAGAGATAATCATATAAATATATTTTATATTTGAAAGAGAAATAGTTTTGGCGTAAAAAGTTTCTTATATTTTAGAGACCCGATTTTTACCTTCTGTAATTCAAAACTAAAAAATGAAATCACTCACTATATTTTTGATTGCTCTGCTCTGAAAGAAGAAAGAAGAACCTTTATGCTCAAAACTGGGCAACTCTGTGCTTCACTTCCATCAATAATTGACAATATGACCCAGAATAAGTATATTGCTACAGCGTTTTATGGTTTCTACAAGTCCTTATCTCAGAAGAAGGCCAAGTGGCACTCGCTCCTCACTTTCTTACTGCTACTCTTTTTGTGTTGTTTTTCTTGCTTCCCTCTTTCTCTTTCTTTTTTTCTTTTTTTTTTCTTCTGTTTATATTGTTGTTTCCTTTGTCTCACTGCTTTGTTCTTATGCATACCTCTGGTGAATCCTGTATAGGGTCAGTGACCCTGAATAAAGGCTTTTTGTTGTTGTTGTTGTCTTTTATTTTAGATTTTTGCAAGCTTTCGAACGAATTTCTGCTCTTCAACGGGCAATTACAATTTTTGTACAATATCAAAATGATCTTTCTACAAAAATATTGATATTGTACAAAAATATAATTTAAATATAGATAAAGAATTCTTCCTGATTTAAAATTTCTGTTAATATTAGCATATATAAATAGTTTAAAAACTTTCTTTTTTATATATATTTATTCCTTCCTACCAATTGTACCATAGTTCTTATAAGTCGCGCTTCATTTCTCGCCTGTTGAAGGGTTTTTACCCGAAAGCTTGCACCTATGCATCAATAAAATAAACTTGTCTTCCTTCACCATGTTTTTTCGTTTAATTAAAAATATAATTGCCCTTTGAATAAAATAAATGTTTTACCCGAATTCTATTTCCCTTTAAATAATTCCTGGGTAACTATCGCTCATATATCGCTTCAAAAATATATTTCTAAAATTGGAATGTTTTGTATTGATACAAAAACAATTTTATACGTCATTAACATTTTTAAGAAATAATTTTGTAAATGCAACAATATAATACGCATGAATATTATTTTCTATTTAATTAATTATTATAATAACTAGTTCTCTAGAGAAATAGAGATTTAAAAAATATATATCTATATTAATAAAATGCAAATTTCATAAGAGTTCATCACTAAAAACTTTCGTTACAATGCATCAATTTCGACCAAATTTTCAACATTTATATAAAACGAGATGGAGCAGGTTTTGCTTAACATCAAAATATTTTTCCTAACTTTAAAATACATAACTTTGCTGTTATCGATAAAATACAAAAAAAATTCAACAGAGTAAAAGTATTTACTTTCAACAGCGGATACAACACTTTCAAAAGTGTTTACTTTCCGCTTCTTGCTAAATTAGTTCTAATCTTTTTTATATATATATATTTTAATTTTAATAATAACTTTTATACATGGTAAGATACTTTTATTTTATAGTTTTCATATTTTATACCGAAAAAAGTTGAGGCCTTACTTGATGAGATCAAGTTTCTTTTTTATTTTATTACGTGTTAATATTTTTATAAGACTAAGGTATTTTATATTATTTTTTACGAATTTAGGGTTATTTCTATTTTTTTCACTAAAAAGCTAGACATTTCATTCATGTGCTCGATTTTATGTCTTTTTTGAGGACCTCTTTTTTTCACTAAAAAGCTAGAAATTTCATGCATGTGCTCAATTTTATGTCTTTTTTGAGGACCTTAACAAAATTTTTAATTAATTGTTTAGATATTTTAGTTACAGATTATTTATGGTGTTTTCCACTTATATGGGTTGTTTTGTGAAAAAAAATTGGGTTATTTTTCTTTTTTTTCACTAAAAAGCTTGAAATTTCATTTTAATTAATTGCTTAGCTATTTTAGAAGTAGATTATTTATGGTGTTTTCAGCATATATGGGTTGTTTTGTAAACAACTTTTGGATTATTTCTATTTTTTTTTCACTAAGATGCAAGATATTTTATTGGTATGTTCAATTATGGGTCATTTTGAAGTCCTTTTTTAAATTTTCTTATGGAATTTTTTAATTATTCCTTTTATCTTTTAAATACAGTTTATTTATTATATTTTCTACATATATGGGTTGTATCTAAAAAATAGATTATTTATATTTTTAAATAAGCGAGGGATTTCTTTAACGGATTCATTTATTTGTCTTTTTGAGGTCATTTTTCTAAATTTTATTAAAGATATTTTAATTTATTTGATCAAATATTTTATATTTAGATTATTTGTAGTTTTTTTACCATATATATATATATATATATATATATATATATATATATATAGGGGTTGTATTTTGTATTTTAGAGAATTATTTCTATATTTTCCTAAAAAAAACATGCTTTTTCATTGCCGTGTCCGGCGGTTGGTCTATTTTTGAGGCTTTTTAGTGATAACTGGTTTTGTACATTACTTTTTTATTTTTAATATAATGCTTTTAGTTTTTTATAATCTTTTTAACATTTCTGGAAGGTGATTTTGAAGAAAAAATTTAAGAATTTTGATTTTTACCTCAAAAAGACAGGGAATTTTTATGCTTTGTTTATAAATTGCTGGTTTTTAAGCTTTTGTTATTAATCTCTATCTTTTTTTTTTCAGAATATGCCTCGCCGCTGCCGACCTTTAATTGGTAGGAATACGGCTGCTTCCAGGAGATATAGGAATGCTAGAGCTATTGAGACACCACTTCAACGTGAGACGCGTCGTGAGCTTCGCCGTCTTAGGTCTTCTGAAGCCCGCGTCACAGCTACACAAACTATGCAAGTTCCTGTTCAGCGTATTCAGCTTTGGACTCATAAGCCGTTTTCAGGTTTGCAGTATAATGCCCATATTGATTATAAAGCTGATTCATCTGTCGATATAGGCCAAATGTCTCGGGTATGCCAGTTTTGCTCTGCTTTGAGATTTAAAGATGAACCCTTAGGCCTCTGTTGTAAACAAGGTAGAGTTTCTCTACCTGCTATTGAGTCCCCTCCAGAACCTATTTTCTCTTTGCTCTCTGGCCTACATCCTCTATCGAAGTCCTTCTTGCTGCATATCCGTAGATATAACTCTATATTCCAAATGACATCTTTTGGTGCTAGACAAGTTGTGGAGCAAGGTTATATGCCTACTTTCAAAGTCCAAGGCCAGGTTTACCACGTAATTGGTAGTCTCCTTCCAGAACCTGATAGTGAGCACAAATTCCTGCAGATATACTTTATCGATAATTATGAGTCTCAGGTTACTGCACGTTGCAACATTACAGCAAACTTGAACAGAGATTTAGTTCGCTCTTTGCAAGATTTATTGCATGCGCACAATCATTATATTCAATCCATTAAAGCAGCCTTAGAAACTCTTCCTCAAAATCACGCTGACTACCGGGTTATTATACACTCTGATAAGCTTCCACCAGAAGAGCATGAGCGTCGCTACAATGCACCCATGACCAATGAAGTAGCTCTGCTGATGGTAGGTCAGGAATTTGGGCCAAGAGATATTGTATTACATTGTCGTAATAATTTGACACAAAGAATATCCGAGATCCATCAAGCATATGACCCTCTACAATACCCGTTAATTTTTTGCAGGGGTGAGGTCGGTTATTCTGTTTCGCTACCTCAAGTCAATCCATCCACTAGAGAAATTATGCAGAAGACTGTATCGTGCATGAATTTTTATGCTTACAGAATGATGGCTCGTGCTGGGGAATTTAACTCGCTACTGCGTTATGGCATGCTTACAAATCAATTCTGGGTTGATATGTATGCTAAGGTTGAATCAGAAAGGCTTTCCTTCATACGGCGCAATCAGAAAAAGCTTCGGACAGAAAATTATATTCACCTGCAAGATGCTCTGCGAGCAGATGAGAATTTAGCCAATATAGGCCAAATAGTCATACTGCCATCATCTTTTGCTGGTGGTCCCCGTTATCTGCATGAGCGGACCCAAGATGCAATGACTTATGTTCGTAGCTATGGAAGGCCTCAGCTTTTTATAACATTTACATGCAACCCTCAATGGAAAGAAATTCATATGCATTCATTTTCAAATAACTCTGCTAAAGATAGATATGATTTGATTAGTCGTGTTTTTCACCTTAAAATGAAAAAGCTTATCTATTTAGTGACTAAGGCTGAGCTATTTGGGCCTTGCAAGTGTTTTATGTTCACAATAGAGTGGCAGAAGCGTGGTCTACCACATGCGCATTTACTGCTTTGGGTTACAAACATAATTAGACCTAATAAAATTGATGAGGTCATACAAGCCGAGATTCCGGATATTAACTTAGACCCAGAGCTTCATGCAATTGTCATTAAACAAATGGTTCATGGTCCATGTGGGGTTCTGAATACAAATTCTCCATGTATGAAGGATGGGAAATGTAGCAAAAAATATCCTAAAGGTTTTTGTGAGACAACTTCGACAACAGAAGATGGTTATCCCCGATACCGAAGACGGTGCTCTGCTGAAGGTGGTCTTACTTCATCGGTGAATATGCGAGGAGTTACTTTTGAAATTGACAATCGCTGGATTGTGCCCTATAATTCTGTTCTCCTTCGTGCTTTTGATTCCCATATAAATGTGGAATACTGCAGCTCCGTAAAGGCCATCAAATACGTGTGCAAATACATTAATAAGGGAACTGATCAGGCAGTTTTCTCTTTGAATCACCTTGATGAGGTTACCCAATTTCAGTCTGGCCGCTATATAAGTTCCGCAGAAGCTGTTTGGAGGATTCTGGGTTTCAGCATCCATGAAAGATCACCTCCAATTGTACACTTAGCTGTTCACCTTGAAAATGGACAGAGGGTCTATTTCACTACTGCAAATGCAGAAAATGTTATTTCAAATCCAAGAGATACAACTCTGACAGCATTTTTTAAGCTTTGTAACCAAGACACATTTGCTAGGACACTATTATACTGTGAAGTTCCTTCTTTCTATACCTGGACCAACAATAAATATTTAGGCAGGAAGCAGGGTACTCCTGTAGAAGGTTATCCTGGTGTGCGGAAAAGTGATGTTCTTGGCCGCGTCTATACAGTTCACCCAACTAATGCTGAATGCTACTATTTGAGACTTCTTTTGTTCCATATTAGAGGGCCATGTTCTTTCCAGAGTTTGCGCACAGTTGAAGGAGTTATCCACACTACCTTCCAAATGGCCTGCAAAGCTTTAGGCTTACTAGAAGACGACTCTCACTGGAATGAAACTCTCAAAGAGGCATCTATATGTCGTAATGCAGCATCGGTGAGAGCATTGTTCTCTACAATGCTCATCTTCTGCCACATGTCTGATACACTTACGCTGTGGCATGCTCATAAGGAGTGTATGTCTGAAGATATTTTGCACCGAATGCGACGAGATATGTCCATCCCTGAACTTGATTACAATGCTGATGTTTTCAATGCTGCGTTACTGGAAATTGAAAAACATGTTCTGTCAATTTCAGGTAAAAGTATTGCATGTATGGGTTTGCCTCTTCCTGAAAATGTATCACCACCAAGAGAGGCATCATTTTTATCAGACATATATGATAGGCGTGAACTAGAAACTTTGGCTTCAACCCGCGAATCTTCTTTAAATACTGATCAGAAATATTGTTATGAGGCCATTCTTAATAGTGTTCGCTCTAGGGCTGGCACGATTCTTTTTTTGATGCTCCTGGTGGCACTGGAAAAACTTTTATTATTAATCTTTTGTTAGCCAAATTGCGCTTAGAGGGTTTAGTAGTTTGTGCTGCTGCTTCTTCTGGAATCGCCGCTACACTCCTTGATGGCGGCAGAACAGCACATTCTCTATTTAAGCTACCTTTGAATCTCTATGATGATGAATTAGCAGTCTGTAACATTGCTAAACAGAGCGCCACTTCCAAAATTCTACAGCAAAGCTAATTATTTATATGGGATGAATGCACAATGGCTAATAGACGCTCAATCGAAGCCCTTGATCGCACTCTTAGAGATCTTAGGGATCACAACAGCATAATGGGAGGGGTGACATTTCTTTTTGTTGGGGACTTCCGACAAACTTTACCGGTTATTCCCAAAGGCACTCGAGCAGACGAGGTTAATGCATGCCTTAAACGCTCTCATATTTGGAGTAGTATTGTTAAGTTATCTCTCACTATCAATATGCGGTCACATCTCTTTGGCGACAGAGGAAGCAGCTTCTCTCAGCTGTTGCTTGAACTGGGCAATGGGACATTTGCAACTCACGAGGGACTCATCTCCATTGCATCAAGTGATCTTTGTGTCTTGGTTGAAGATAGCCATACCTTAATATCATCTGTTTACCCCAATATAGGCTCTTTACTTACCATGCCACTTTCTTGGTTCAGTGAAAGGGCTTTATTAGCACCAAGAAATGATGCTGTGGACAAGATAAATGAATATATCCTCGGTAAATTTATCGCTCCTTCAGGAACTTATTTGTCAATAGACACTGTTGTAGATCCGAATGATTCTGTGCATTATCCCATTGAATTTTTAAATTCAATCAATCCGCCTGGAATGCCTGTGCACAGTCTTACCCTAAAGGTTGGCGCCCCGATTATATTGTTAAGAAATCTTAATCCCCCAAAATTGTGTAATGGTATTCGGTTGCAAGTTAACAGCTTACACAGATATCTGCTGGAGGCGACTATTTTGACTGGATGCGGCACTGGTGAGAAGGTTATGATTCCTAGGATTCCCATTATATCTTCAGATTTGCCCTTTCATTTTAAAAGACTTCAATTTCCTGTTAAGTTGTGCTTTGCAATGACAATTAACAAAGCACAAGGTCAAACATTGAAATGGGCTGGAATTGATCTTCAGGTTCCATGTTTTTCCCATGGCCAGCTTTATGTTGCCTGCTCACGCGTTAGTTCCTCCAATAATCTTTTTATTCTCGCACCTAATGGCAGCACAAAAAATATTGTTTATCAAGAAGCTCTTTCTTAAGGTATTTCTTTCCTCAATTAGCAAAAAAATTTATTCATTACCTTTTATATTTTTTTCACTATGTTTATAATGTCCTCTAATGTACATAGATGCTTTGCTCATATATGATTGTCCCTTTTAAAGCGCTAATAAGATCTGCAACTGTTGTAACTGTAAATATGCATATTTGGTGTGGTATTACAAAAGTTTCAATAAATATCTTTTTTAAATATTTTCTCTTCAAGCCCATCATACACACATGCTACATTTTTCACATGTTTCAATGTGTAGGGTTTTAAACCTTCATGGTAAGGTATTCTTACTTAAGATGTATACTGTGTTAGGAAAATTTATGGTTTTTAATTATTGGTTATTATTGTGTTTATTTTACATACATGTGTTTATATTACATAGTATGTGTTTTTTTTGATAATTTGATTGGAAATATTAGTTTTAGCACAACTTGCTTCATACCGTAATGTTATATCTGTGTTGGCTTGCTGAAAAATACTGGCCCAACATGAATTTACCTATGTTTACCCAAATTACCATTTTAGCATTAGTATACATCTTGCAGCTAATAAGAGACCTAAACAATGTGTAAGGTTGAACAAAGAGTGGTCTAACATACACTTTGTTTAGGTTTCAGTGAACAAAGAGGTCAGTAAATTTTATTAGAAAAACAAAAATCTATTCCATGTAATGTAATAGAAACAAAATAAACCTCATCCTACCTAATATACATTACTAATGAGGATTAAAGCTTTTGATTTGTGTTGAGAATTTTGCATGCATTTCTCTATTTCTTTTCTTATCTTGCAAAGCTAATGGATTGTTTAGGTTGCTTATTTTGGCCTCGCCAATTTGTTTATTGATAAAGTGGTATAGCGTTCTTTTTCAGAGCATCACCCTACAAAAAAATTACCTGACCTTTCCTAATATTCAGAAAGATTTATTATATCAACATACTAGACTACAAACATTCCCTCGAGTAAAGACGATTATTTAAAAAAAAAAACGTATCTAAATATATATCACTCGGGTAGATATGCACACGGGTCAATCCCGGGGCGAAGCCCGGGTCGGCGTCTAGTCTACTTATATAATTGCCTTATTCTGTCTGGGTGAAGTTCACTGTGTGAAGTTCACGGATAGATTTTGGTCAGAATGGATAAAATAAAAAAAAGTGTCAAGGGATGGGAATCGAACCCACGACCTTCCGCTTACCGGGCAGATGCCATGACCACTAGGCCACATGACCACAATTTATAATTGTAACAAATAGTATTTGAATCAAAACATTCAATCGGGTAAAACACGGGCGTTGCCCGGATCATTCGGCTAGTTATTTTATAAAGCAATAACGCCCGCCATCTATATATAACGAATGGAGACAATAAGACGCGAATGTTTCTTTCCACAAATAAATCAAGCTTCTACTGTTCTTACTGCGAAGGAAAAATTTTGAGAGGGCTTGGCTCTTCAGTGGTGAACCTTCCCAGCGATTTCGTAAATTTAATCTACCAGACCGCTTCTTAGAGCTCTAATACTTTATTGGAACATTCTGATATAATATACTGCACTGAATGGTGGAATTTTAGAAATAGTATTAAAGCAAACTATGGACATAAGCTTTTAGGACATTAGAATTACATTCGAATATTTGCATCGAGCAATACTCTTCCGCTGAAAATAATGGTAAGTTTTAGGAATATAAATGAATACAAACAACAACGCACCAGCTATATATAACGAATGGAGACAATAAGACGCGAATGTTTCTTTTCACAAATAAATCAAACTTCCACTGTCCTTACTGGTCTGGTAGATTAAACTGGCGAAACCGCTGGGAGGATTTGCCACTGATGAGTCAAGTCCTCCCAATATTTTTTTCGTCTCAGTAAGGACAGTAGAAGTTTGATTTATTTGTGAAAAGAAACATTCGTGTCTTAACGTCTTCATTCTTTATATTATTTTATTTTATACTAGCGGACGTACCCGGCTTCGCCCGGGTTTTACCCGAGTAGAGGTTTGTCTGACGAATCTCTCGATAAAGTGAACATTTTTCCCCGGTCCCTTGAAAAATACTCGATAAATTGAATAAAATCAATATTAATTGGTTCCCTCGGTAATTGGAAGTTAAAGGAATAGTATCTTGCCTTGGAATTGTATCATTATTCTTGTCTCAAATAAATTGCAGTGTCATCCTGAATTTTGTCTTTCCTAATTTTCTACATTACAAAATCATCGTATCATCATGATAATATTTAGAGCAGATTGTTGAATTATAACAGATAAATTAGAATTCTGAAAATAGAGCAATCCATATTGTTATATTTGTTCATAAAGGGCACATCTTGGATTCAATAAATAATCTTTTATTTCCGATATTTCAGTTGAAAAATATGACCGTTTAGCCCATTGAAATATCGGAAAAAAAAGATTATTTATTGAATCCAAGATGTGCCCTTTATGAACATAAATTAGAATATATATCTTGATTATTTTTAGGCGAAAAGTTATTTCAAAAATTTTATTTGCTAGACACCTTCCCAGTACTATACTAAATAACTTCCCAAAGTTTCATGGCGTTCCAATGAGTGGTTTGGTCAGGCATAAAGGACACCCACATACATTCATTTATATATATATTATACATTATACATTATATAGTATATATTATACATATTTTTATTATATAAATCAATAAAATATATTTTAATTATTTCAAATATTATTTTGAATATTTGCATATAGGGGTATTAATATTTATATAAACTGGCTTTAATTTTTATTTAATGCGCGGTCACAAATTTATTCTGGTTCTCAATTTATTATACCCACTATAGAAGCCATGGTCGAGAAAAAAATGAAATTTGAAAAATGACCGGAGGCATATTTCACAAACAGCTAGACAGTGGAAACCCTTATGAAGGTTTTAGAAAATCGAAAAATTCTCTAGGATAAACTCTACCCATACACTGAGTGGAACTACATTGATCAATCTTCAAGGGAAAACAAGCCAAAAAAAAAAAGAATAAAAATATTATTTTTGATGAAATATATATTGTGTGCATACACAATATTTATCTTCTTATATGTACTATCATATTATTTCAAAATAATATCGATTAATATATAAAGTCTTCGTATAAATATATATTCAAATTCACAAGTTTAAATTTTATATATATGGCCCAAATATAAATAGGAAAGCCTTTAATTTATTCAATTTATAAAGTTTTCTAATATTTTTGTCCCAGTTGAAACTAGTATAAGAATAACTAATATGTGTTTGCCCTAGAAAAAGGTTAGAAGATGAAATGAGATTTTTAAAATAAAACTTTCACTATTACTTTTTTAAAAAAGTTATATACTATTTAAAATTGTATATATATATATATATTGGTAGATTTTAAATAAATTTGCCATTTATTTATTTAACAGTTGGGAGAGACACGCTATATCCACAATTTGGATAATTGCGTGTATATTTTAAATTATATACAATTAATACAATTGAACATTGGGAATCATGAAAATTAAACGTTCGATGTCAAATTTTACATATAGTAATTATAAGTAGTAGCTTGAAATATGTACAGTCAACACTTTCGCCTCAAAATATACATCCTGCAGAATCTATTAAACTTGATGTATTGGTCTTTATTGCAAGCAGCTTGTTTTGTATTAGTCAGGTAAAGTTGGTTTTCTTTCCTTATATCAGAAGTTAATGGACAGTTTATCAGAAGGTGTTCAGGGGTTTGTTGTTCGTTTCCACAAGTGCATGCAGGTGAACCAATTTTGCCAATTCTAAACAAATATGTGTTGAAGTCACCATGTCCAGTAAAATATTGAACGTTATAGAAGTTGGGTTGAACGTAGTTAGGAATTCTTGAAGTTTCTATTTATTTCTTTTATTCAATAGAACAATAATATTTATGTTCTATACTTGTAGAAAAAGAGATAAATGCTCGAAAGCTTTCTCTATTAAATGAAGAAATTAAATGCTAACCTTATTTTATTTCTTCTAAAATTATAGCAATTTTATTTATATTTCATTCTTTTCAGAGGGTTGATGATATTATTGGCAATGAAATTTTCTTAGCTCTATAAATGGTGTACACCAAATGGATACATTAAAGTATATTTGTGAAGAAATGTCGGTAGGTCGTTTCACAAACACTGATGCGAGTTCGGTAGAAGAATTCGCAGTGATGATTCTTTTTGTGGGCTGTTGCAAGGATTAAAATAAGATCATTAATAGCAGAAAGGAGAGGGTAAAAATCTCCTTCAAACTAACTTTATTTAATACAACTTAAGAGGACAGAGGAAAACACCTAACTGGTCGGTAGCAGACCAAGCCGTGTTCTAGTCCTTTGTTGGCGGCTGGCGCCGCCGGGGCTTGTTTGTTTACAGTCGTTACCCGAGCCGTCCGGACGGCGTCCGGAATAATGGATCTCCATTATTCCGCAATATTTATATGAAAAATAGACACTTCGGCCAGTTAGAATTTTTATTTTCTCAACCTTTCGACAAAAATCTTTTGTCTTCGTCAGGAGAAGTAAATAAAAATAAAGCATTTGGCGATGCGTTAAAATTGTTCTGAGGTTGCAAGGGCATTCTCACGTGATTTTTCGAATTTAGCACAACATCTAAAGCACGAGTCAAAAACAAATATTAAACTCGTCAAAGACTATGATCTTGGAAATAAAAATATATAATAATAAAATTATAATCAAAATAAATAAATAAAGTAATATAATAATAATAATCACAAAGATTACATATTATTTTATAAATTTCTAATTATTATGTTCAATTTATATCTAGCTTTTAACTATTTTTTAAATTTTAAAATGAAGCAAATATTGTTGCGGAATATCTTCAAATGCATTTATAGTTTCTTTCCCAAATTCTCGTGATACCCATCCCTCTAAAAATAATCTTTCCTTTTTAAATTTTATATTCTTATGAAATATCTCAATATCATTCTAATCTGGCCTATGTCCTGAATATAATGCACGTTCCCCAATTTTGCTTAAACGCC